TTACACATTTGATTGCAGAGAACTGCAGTTGGACTGTTTGCCTACCTTATGCAGATACTCCACAGCCTCAATGATTTCTGCCAGGTACAATCTTGTTTCATCAACTGAAAACACTCCTCCCCACTCCCGCAACAGATGGAGCAGGTTGCCACCTGCATAATAGTCTGGAAAAACAATAACAAAACTTAGTTACCATAAGGACACTCACTGCTACCAGAGGACAGTGCAAACTACTCTGCTGTATATTCAGTTAGAAAACAGTGTTATTGCCAAATGACGCTCTCCACAAGACTGAAAGATAGTTCAACCTTCACACGATGTTTTCAGTCAAGATAAATATTACTCCTACCCTTCTTCCTATGGTCCACATGGTGGTCACTGTCTGTGCTGTGTTATAAAAACATTTAACTGGCAGTGGAATTTATTTTTACAGGCCTACTATGTACACTGTCCACTCCTCGGTAAATGTGACTCACAGAAAATAAACAGAACAAATATGTGTCAATACCATGGTACACAGCACTTGTTAGTCGAAATGCATGTGGGACGTGACAAACATTAGTCAGTGGGAGACTTTCACATGCATACAGCTTGTCTCTCTGAGCAGAGAACTGAACTGACCTAGAAGATGCAACATCTAGGTATAAATGCATTCCACAAACCATTTCCCTAAGAAAAAATACTTCCACCCTTATAGCAGTCTGTGTGAAATCTGTTATAATGAACTAGTTAAAAGTGACCCGACTTACGTACTGAATTTCACACAAGCTAAGCGATACTTAAAATACAAGGATGGGGCAGAACACTAGAAAGCTTCAAAAATAATGCAAAACTAAGCATCAGTATCGATTATATGACAAAAAATTATTAAAATGTACAATGAAACCACTGTTAATAGGACCACATTAATTACTGTGATGATTAATCATTCATATAAGTACAATAATCTCTAAAAGAATTATCAGGCCTTTTTAATCTGACCCCAACAATTATTCTGTAATTCATAATGGATTGAAAGTGGGTGAAATTGATTTTAGTTTGTCAGTACTGACAACCTGAAACATGTATCTGACTGTAACACTTTACTTCAGAGTCATTCGATCAGCACGATTCTTCCAGTTTAGGTGGTTATCAATTTTCAGACTGTAGAATTTTAGTTTTGGCACTCGTCCACATATTTTCCATTATATCCGACACTTAATGCGTATAGTGGTGAATTATTTGTTAAAAATTTTATTAAACTTTTCCTAAACTTAGGTTTAGTTTGTTTGCAGTTAACCATTTTATCATATGAGAGAGAACTGAATTCACCAATGTACAGAAATCATCAAACTTTTTATTAGAATGTATGATAGTTGTATCATCACCAAGAATTATGATAAGTTTTCTTCTCTTTTTCTTTAATGGAACATCACTGATCTAAGTTAAGAAGAGTAAAAGCGCTATAATTTACCCCTAGGGACTCTGAGCATCACTGTTCCCCATTTGGAGTTTTACTACCTGGATCTATATCCACCTTCGTTTCTGCCTATGAAACATGATCTATACAGCTTAGCAGCAGTTTCTTGAATGCCAATAAAATGTGACCTACATCATTTGATGACTTAAGCAGTAAAATTCTTTTATTTTTTAAAATGGCAAAGTACTCCTCCAACATGCATTTCTTGGTTAATGCTTTTTAACACTTTGTTGGGCTGAAACTTGCATTTTCGGTGGTTAAACGTTTTCTAGAGCCAGACTCTTCAGGGACCAATACATTCTTTGTCTGCATATAAGGACTTAATCTATTCTACATAACCTCTAATATATTAAAGGTGGAGGTTAGTGATTGGTAATTCATGATTTGATACTGTAAAGATCCCATCATGCAGTCATACTACCTGATACTTCGAAACACAGAAAGAGGATTATGATACTAAGCTTGTGATTAACAATAACTTTTACAGCGTTAATTAGTCCTGTGGCTCGCCTAAAGGGCCTATCAAAAGACTTTCCATACTATAATATGTGCCTATTTAAAATAACGAAACTACTGTGTTTCTGCCAACATTCCTCTCTGACACTACACTTCACATCGCTGTATTGTTTACTCCATGTCTCAAAATTACTCACCTAGTACGAGGCACAACTTCGATTGTGTCTGGAATGCATAGTACAGTCCCACCATGAATGGAGCCTCCAGGCCCTTCTCAAGTAACCCTCGTTCGGTTCGATACTGCTGGCGGCCAGCCTCATAAGACGTAATTTCTTTAATGTCTAACGTATTTAAAGCATACAAATTCCCATCATCCACGCCGCCGATCTTCCGCACTAGGTACACTCTTCCATAACCTGGAACAGCACGCAATCATGTTTCCTGTTACTACGTCCTCAACAAGTGCTCTGATATTTGTTGACCCTCTCTCTTCACTAAGACATGAATTCTGTAAAACGTTGTGTCTGCAATATCAAGCCTTCATGACTAAAGGTAATATTTTTCGACACACGTTGTGCACACGCCCATTATCCAAGAAGCAATTAAACCACTCGCCACCAGTGTCGTCGTTCTGAAAGATCAGAGCGCGAATCTTAAGTAGCTTCTATGAATGGCCGTGTCGGGGGACACAAACAGAAAGAAATCCCACTTAGCTCTGCAATATTATCTATGTGTAATAATACATCATATATAATCAGAATTATTTTTGTTAAACAGATACTCCTATAATGTTTATGCTTTGAATCTTCTTTGGAGGGTCACTGACCCAGTCACACCAATTCCCTTTTATGTTTAGTAGGGGCTCGATTTCCACTAACAACATTTCGCAGATGACATTCAAGAAGAATGTCAATCACCCGTCATCAGAAAGAGAAAATTATCGTTGACAGAAAATTTTGATTGCCTTAGGCTCGGCAGAACAAAATTCCGAGCAATTTGTAACCATCTTCTGGAAGCAATAAACGTTCTCTGATATTCTGACACTAAATCTTTATAGAACATTATTAATCAAGACTTGGCTCTGAGTTTAGGAAGATTATGATCCAACAACACTTGTTCATATTAGCAAATGTCTGAATGGAGTAACTCTTGTAACTGACGTCTAAAATATTTATTGTTTCTGCAGATTCGTTTGCGTAAATGTAAGTCGCGTGAGTGTTCCTAGACGGAGGTTAAGCTCCACTCTTTTCACTTACATTGCTGTTGTCTCAGCTGATTTACTGCTACTGGAGCGGCTCACAAGATCAGCAGAGAAATCCACAGTTAATTTCCGAAGTTTTTACTACAAGAAATCGTACTTGCCTCCTCTCCCCAGAAGTTGGAGCGGCTCGAACTCCTTGAGCCTCGGAAGACCGGTCTCTGAATGTTCGACCGCACCTGGAGAACGAACAGCCTCGGCATTTTCAGAGGTACGAGCCGAAACTTCGTCTGCCTCGTCTAATCTGCCTTGGTCAGCGCCCTGGCCGCTGCAATCCTCGTCCCAGTTCTCACTGCAGGTTGGCGCCAATTCCTGATAGTGGCAGGCACAAAAGCTCTGAATCTGCTGCTTCAGATTTACGTTTTCGGCCATGATACTTGAGACTACATGAATCAGACCGTTTATGGTTTCGTGTGTGTTTCTCATTTCAATCAGGTGTTGCTTCTGCAAGTCCTTGATTTTTGCTCTCAGATCCTCGATATCTTTGTTTCTCACACGAAGGTCCCTCAGCTCTTTCTCCACGCGAGCAAAATGAGTTAATATAATAAATAAAGGTTCTGTCTCTGCTAATATTTGTTCTCTACACTTTTCTTTCTTTCCAGCACCAATCAGATCGTCTATTAATCTCTTAACGTTCTCCATGGTCGTTAACAAACTGTGGTATGTCCCTGATTTATTTCTTTGTTTGTCGGTTGTTATTAAAGATCGCTTTTTTCCTCAGGCACCTGTAGTCAAAAAAGATACATCTTATTACCTTCCAATGCTATTATAGCATCAGTGCCCTTTTAAATTCAACACGAAATTCAAATACAAATTTATACTATGTATGCTTATATTTATATTACCAATATTTTGCTCTTTGACCGGTCGATTATTCTGTTATTATACTAAAAATTAATCCAGGGATAAGATATTTTGTATGTATTATTCATCCTTGGACGCACTGCCGCTTAAATCAGAATGAGAAAACGTTTCCTGCACTTTCGGTGAAATCAAGATCAGGTACATTGGCTTACTACGATTTTAATTTCCTGAAACAGAATTTACGTTCGTTCAGTTAATAAGACGATATCATACTTGCCAGTTGGTTCATCATCGTTTCAAGCTGAAAAGCAACAAGCTACTAAGCTTCGTTGCTCCTTACTGAAATTCAAGTGCAAACATTGTTCACTATTTACAGAGGTCACGTAGTAGGTCGATACTGGCTAATGACAGCTATTCCAGTTTTGCAGTCCAGATACTCTGATAGACTAAGAGAATCCACATAAATCTATGCCTAGGTAATTACTGCATTCTAAAGAAATGCCCATGTTCTCAAAGCAGAGTAAATTGTTCGACTTAAAGATAGAGATAATTTAAATCTCCGAAACGTCGGCGATACACCACATTTTAAAACTGTCGCACCACATCAGCTGTTGTGACATGTTTCTCTGAAAGCCTTTCATAAGAACTCGCTCATTCGTTAGGACCGTCATATCAACAAACTTTTACAATTCGGCCAAAAAAAGTTTCGTATGTCGAAATACTCGAAAATTCGTTGCTTTGGAAATTCGCCATAGCGTGACAACAATCAAGATGAAAAGGTAACAAAAAAGGGATTATCAAACAACACACGAGTGCATAGGACGTTAATGGACAAAGAGACCCGACAAGGATGGTTTCTGTTGACAGGAACGTAAACACGAAAAAAGAACGACGCCAAGGCAAAATTCTTTCGTTTCGGAGAGGAAATTTCGGGGTCTAAGGTCACGGACACGAATACACAGTCCTCTGTTCGAGTCTCTGTTAGGATGTTGGTTTCTGGGGTAATTTTTACGGGCGTATTAAACGACGCACGTTTAATGATGAGGCTCATAAGCTACCGGGTGTTTCTGAATTAATCTGCTGATTTTGTGTGGTTATAGTAGACCATAATTTTTTATTTATTCAAAGTTTATTTAACGACGCATTTTCAGAAGCTCCGAGCATTAAATCCATTGATAAATCCTATTTTATTATTTGGAAACACAAAACTAGCTTCATTCTGTATTACTGTCGACTAACACGGATGCCACCAGATGTCTCAAAAGTAAAGTGATGTACAATTTGTAGGGTTACCCAAATATCGGAAAAGTTTTTGTGGTAATATAATTTACCGCATTCGACCGGCGGCTGAATAAAGCACGTAGTTTGGTGGATAGGAATAAAAAGTGTATGAAAATGTGCCCCATTGACAAGTTCTTATGCACACGAATGTTTTTAAAGCACTGGACTGACTACCAACTTCCAACAATTGGATTTTTTGCCTCAAGCGTGACCTATAAATGCAAAATCGAGAAATTAGGCTGTTCTCTGGGGTGACGTCAGAGCCCTGAAGCTGTTCCAGGCGGAGATAAGGCCTACAGAGGGAGGACTTCCAAGTTTTTACCCCCACGGCCTCCTTGACTGTTTTGAGGCATTTGCGGACACTGGCTACGAGGGCTGAGATACACGTAGTTTGATGGATAAACCAGTTAGAAGGCGTTCACCATGACTTATAAGGTAGTGTTTATTGTTGTTCCTTCAACACTCTATCAACTGATAATGTTACGTATCCATTATTTAAGTATGACACGATGGTTATGAATGATAAATCGTGGGAGTACATTCTGTGCTTGCTTTAAAGTAACTGAGAAGAACCACGGAGCTGGGGGTAGCCGATGCCAACATGTTAGTCTACTGCGATTGGAAGAAGCCGATATTTTGTTCGTGTTTTAAGAGGGGACAGGAATTGGATCTATTTTTTTAGATTATGGTGCCACGGAGTTTCAATAATCCCACAGGCGGCTTCAAAAAGCGGACGCTAAGTTTGTTATGAATTGTGAATGGGACAG